AAACATAATACCAATAGGCCAGGTGTGCTTTTTAATGAGGCAGCTAATGAGATCTGTGGTAGTGAAGAATGAGGTGAACAGTTGTGCAAAGTCGCTTGTTCTCATGCTTGTGCATGCAACAATCCTTATCACTGGACATAAGTGGTGGATATTGATCGAATCAGTGTGATTCCTCATACAAGTAGCAGAAATGACCTTTTTTCGAATGATTACAGAATGTACAAAGTTCCGGATATCCTCAATTGTGGCTTGCCTCGTTAGCAAATCAAGAAATAAAAATTGCAGTGGCTCGAGCATGTGATAAGGACACCACAGAAAAGACTCTGCAGGAAACCCTCTTGACAAAGTCAGAGGGAGAGGTACCAAAAACAGACCGCGGACGAAATGGGTCCATGATATAAAAATCCTGCTGTGTCGCCTATTGGAATCCCAAACATGGAACTCTCCGTTCGGTGGTCTCCTAAACCAACTGGTCCACGACGAAAGGATCAATGGACTCTGAGGATGACTGAATCAGTGAATCAAGGAACAAATCAAAAATAAACAAAGAAAGCAGGAGGAAATATGTTGGAATGTGGAAATGATAATGTCAATTGCCGTCGTGCTTCACTGACGCGTCGTTTAGGGCTCTGTTAATCCATGAAGTTAGGCTTGATGATGGTAATTCGAGAAGATTTTCAAATGAGGAAAAAAACTCATTATGGCTTTGATTGCCTAAGGCTCGCTGAAATTAAATTTGCCGATACACTGAAATCCCATTGGAGGCACAGGCCTTGTTTATCGTCTTTTTGGGTGCCCTTGAACTCGGCGCTGATTTCAGTCTCGAAATCATCAACCAGTAGTGCCGATGTTTTAAGGTAGTATTTAATAACAGCTGAAAGGCGATTCCCTAATACACAACGAAATAAATTGGCTTATAGAAAGACACTCAACAAGAAATGGCCAATAGCCATAATTCTAGCCTGTCGATTTCAGACAAACCATTTAATGCCGAACCTCCTCTATAGATTTACGTCGAAGAAGTTGGTTCAATATTTGGCAGTCCATTTTTTAAGTGTGTATTAATTAATAAACGCTGCTTGTGCTTCACTGAGACTATCAACTCAGGAACCAAATATTCCAATGCAATATTTAGGGCAAAACGGTCATCCCTGGTAGTACAACGAACTCTCAGTTGATCGATCACGGGTATGAATTCCGTCCTAGTCAATAGCCTATCCTCATACTGAAACAGATGGGTGCATGTTGTGCTTGCTGCAGAACTATGCATGTCACTGTTGTACGTAGAGCTGTTACGAACGATGTCATGTCTCAAGGTAATAGTAATGGTGCATGGTAGTTCACACCCGTTTGCATCACGCGACAGAGGGCGCATCTCATGACTATTGCAGTGCAGGGATATAACCAAAGGTCATGACCAATAAAACTGAAAAGACTGGAGATTAGCGCCACTGGATGAACGCCGGCCATAAAGGCTGAGTGAAAGGAAAGTTTCCTGGCTTCTGTCGTGAGAGTGGAAGGAGATCAAAATTTCTACGGCAGAATTTTTCTGAGGTAGTCTTTTAGTGGTTTTCATTTACTCATCCTGGGAAGACGAGTGACCCGGTCACAAGGTGAACCCATGCCGTTTTGAATATGAATTTAATGCCGTAAAGATGCAGTTGTCTTGAAGGAACGAATAAGTGGTAATGATTCGGTTGATCTTGGCTATCCATCTGTCAAAGGTTTCCACATGCATTTGAAACGGTCACCAAGTATAACAGTATGTAAAAAGACTTTTAGTCCAGCTGTGACTTCCAAGTCCAGTATTTACATGAAATGCGGCAGCTTCTTTGATCAGATCTTCATAACTTAGAAAGCTGTTCGATCACTCTTCACAAGTGAGAGAGGACATGAAGCAGTGATTTGTCGCAGATGGGATATTACGTCGATAAACTGTTATTTGGAACCCCTACCTCTTACCAGTCCCAAAGCTCGTTCTCGTTCAGCAGGTACTCAATCAGTGGAGCGTCGCGTTATTGGGACCGAATTGAAGAACCTATTTGCGTATTATCCTCATGAGGCAGATCAACAAACACCACTTTCTTGGAAAAGAAGCTAGGGGTCATAGACCGCATTTATCACGTAGCTGCAGACCTTGCCTTTAAAAAGGGTACTGCTCACTGGTGGTATAGAAATACAGATCAGCACAACACTAGAAGCTCCATGAAAGGAACGGCACAGCGAAAATTTTCCATGATGGAAGTGAATCCGAGACCGACAGAAAGCCTTTCCCATATGTATTCAATTAAATCGGTTGTACGTTGTCACGCCTTAGCCACAGCAGATAGGTTTGAGAGTCAAAATCGTCGCTGTATTTTCTGTCAATGATTTCGGCCCCATTCAGTCCAATTGGACAAGGACTTGAGTACCCTTGAATCTTACCGTACCCCGGACAGCATCGAATCAGCCGACCGACCATACCAACGACCAGGTGTTTCGCGAACGAGGCAAATTTCGTCCGTCGTGTCTGGACGGCGTTTTTCCGGTGACGCCGAAGAACGGATTGAGAAAATTTATAGATACGATCAATTTCGGTTGTCGACCGCGTGATTGATGTTCTGACAGGGACACGGTCGAAGACGACTACGGCGACGACCAGGAGGACGATTGCGACGTTGTCCAAATGCGCTAGCGAAGTCAAGAGCTGTTTTCGAATTGGGCGCATTAATAATTTTACAGTCGTTGATTTATGTCCCCTCCCTGAGTACCGGTTTTCTCTATACAGTACGACGAAAATCAGATGAGCAGGTTGCATAGATAGGTAGGCGAACAGAAGTTAAATGACAGTGACAAATGGTCGACCGACGGTGCGTCAAGACCTTGAGCGACGACCAAACTTGACTGGATGGAGGGATCGCTCAAACGACACGGCTCGCCTGTCGTCTGATGCTGCTGTTGCTGCTGCGCCTTATTGCAATAAATTCAACCTTGGAGTCGAACGGCGACGGCGACGCTGTCATCGCTAGGTACTGGTGAGGAAGAGGACCACGGACGGGCGCTTGTAGGCAATGATCGATGAGGGTCGCGAGAAAGAAGTGCCTCAGGCAAGTAACGGCGACAGCGGCGCTCCTTAAATATCGACCGACCAACGAGGCACGACCGTCGCCGTGCCACCGAACTCTGCCGATGAACCGACGAACGGAACGGAACGGAATGGAACGGAATGGGTCGGGTCGGGTCGGGCCGGTTTTGTGACAGATGCGTCGCTTCATCAACGCGACATTAATACGATGTGCGCCCTCACGTCAAGGTCAGACGCCGTTGTCATCTGACCGACCAATGGACCGCCGGTACTACTGTTACTACGGCTACCACAGAAACTGCCGTGCAATCAAAGTTCACAATGCGGCGGGATTTCCATCATTACACTATAAGGTACCTAGAAACAACCGCTATGTAAATGCTCTCCTGTCAAGAAACTACCAGAAGAATGAGGTTGTGAGGTAGCCTGCACGGTGATTGGCACTTACTAGGCGATCGATTGCAAACAAGACGCTGAACAGTCCCTGTCCGTATTAAAGCGTTAATTTCACTCATTTTTCCCTTTGTTCATTGCCTCTCACGCTCTGAAGCGCAGCGGCGGTGTGAATCGTTCACGCTGATAGATGCAACGGCCAGAATCTCCGTCCTGCGCCGTATCAACTGATGGCGACACACAAAGACGACGGGTGGCAGTCACATTTGCCTCATTACGCGATCGCCAAAAGGGGGAGCCGCGAGGGTTGCCGGTTTACGAGCGTCTGTCACGATGGCAGCAGTTAATGCGGCGGTACGTCAGCCCTTTCATCGGTCGACCATCGCCATGGGTTCGGAACGCGGCGCGACTTGAAAGCTCGACAGCAGTTCGCTAAACAATGGCCCAACGCCAATCGCCAACCATAGATCGGTGGTACCTGCACAGCTGTGTCGGTGATATGGTCGTCAGCTGTGTCCGGTGTCCGATCAGGCAACTTCGACGCCAGCCGTTGTATGAGGACCGCCAAAAAGCATCCCCGATATATGCCGAACACACTGCTACCGTTAACC